ATTAGAATTTTTTCCATAGATATCTAAAAAGCAAGCAACAATAGCATAATTAACTGTAAAGGCAGAATACGTGACAGCAGCTCAAGCTACAAGTTAAACTATATGATTATGAAGAATACTTGAATAAATGGGAGAACAACATGGATCTATTATTATCTACTGTAACAACAAATCAACAATAACAATGACAAAGAATGCATTCTATCATAAAAAACAAAGCACATAACTACTAAATATCACTTCATTAGAGAGGTTAAAGAAATCAGACAAATTTAACTTGAGTAATATGCTACAAAAGATTAAGCTGTATATATTTACAAAGGCATTAATAAAAGTCAAATTCAAATAATTAAGAGCGAAACTGAAATTTGTATCAAGAATGAATGTTAAAATTACTACAAATTTTTAGAACCTTATAGTTGCAAGTAGAAATTTTTAGACTGGTGAAAATTAACACAATACAAGTATTATGAGAAAGTTCTAAAAAATAAATGATAAAAAATTGTCACAAACTTGTAATTAATGATTATATATATATATATATATATATATATATATATATTTACTCATATTTTTTTTATTCCATTTGATGCAATGAAAAGAGAAGGAAAGCAAATTACACAGAGGTAAACCTTCACCTTGAATCTTTCTTCCAAATCCATTAATACTAAACAATAACCAATTTATCTTTTATTTTTCCTAAAATATTATATATAGGAGTTGAAGTTCAAAAGAATTCATTTGGAGAGATGCATTCATATAGCAAAGTTTAATGTTTCATCAAAGTTGGCTTAGTTCTCTTTTAGACGTTAAAAAAATTTAGAATAGGGAAGGAAGCTTCATACTTAGAACATGGCAATAAATCACCAACTTAGGGAAAACTCTGATTTTGTGTGAGCCTGAGTGGAAGATTAACCATGTGCTAATTTGATCATCGTTAATTCTAATGACATGTGTAATAATTTATTAGTGTTGTCTTTTGTCATTTCTTCTTGGATTCATAGGTTGAATTTTGGATACTTTCGTTCCATGTTTTATGTAATATGGTGGCTGACAAAAAAAAACATTCAAACAGACTTAGTCAAGTACTAACAACAAAAGGGTCTCAAGAAGTGAGAAAAGGCGAGGATATTTGGTTATGACATAAGCGTCTAGGACATGCATATTTTGGTTACATAAAGAAATTATTTCCAAATGTATTTAACCAAGTAGACACTTCAACTTTGTATTGTGATGTTTGTGAGCTTGCATAGAGTCATAGAACATATTTTCTTTTAATTTCAAATAAAAGTTCTCTTCATTTTATGATCATTTACTCTGATGTATGGGGTCCATCTAAGGTTATAACGTTGGGTGGCTCAACGTAGTTTGTAACGTTTATTGATGATTGTACTCGAATGACTTGGTTATGTTTGATGAAATCTAAAAGTGAAGTTGGAGGACTATTTCAGAAATTCTGCAAAATGATTGAGATTCAGTATAAAGCACAAGTTCAGGTACTGCGCAGTGACAACAGAGGAGAATATATGCAATTAGAACTTCAACATTTTTTAGTAGCCAAAGGAATTGTTTATCAGAGATCTTGTTCAAATACTCCACAACAAAATGGGGTGGCAGAACAAAAGAATCGTCATATATTAGAGGTGGTCCGAGCTCCACTAATTGGAGCTCACACCCCAGCAATATATTGGGGAGAAGCTCTCACATATGTAGTATACACTATCAACCGAACAACGTCCAGGTCTCTTGAGTATAAAACACCTTTTCAATCACTTACAGATGCAGTAGTAAATCCTAGAATTGTTGAACTAACACATAGAGTTTTTTGTTGTGTTGCTTATGTTTACTTACACAAGCATTAGAGAAGTAAGTTTTCTCCTAGAGCTGAAAGGTGTGTGTTCCTTGGCTTTGCGGATCACCAAAAAGGATACCGGTGCTACAATCCACAAACCAAGCAAATGTTTACTACTATAGATTTAGTTTTTCATGAGACCTTTATATATTTTTCTGTTGAGTCTGAAATTTAGGGGGAGAATTATGATGAAGTTCAGACTTTTGTTTCTAAAGAAATTGATACTGAGGTCAGATTTGAGAAAGGAAGTTACAAAGTTGTATCAGGAGATGATGAAAGTGTGCAACAATGTGATGATTAACAACAACATAATGAGAAAGAATTTGAGCATATCAAGATCGAAAGTTTATCTATTGATGCTAATGGTATACCACACCAATCGTCCTCTCAAGAACCTAATACTGCCAGATTATGTCACTAGAGGTATCCCTAAGCCTACTTATGATCCTGACTTCACCAATAAGACAAGATACCCTATGAGTAATTATATTTGTAACCAGAATTTGTCTAACTAAAATATCGCATTTATAAGTTAATTATCTACTTATCTATTCCTAACAGTGTGCAGGAAGCTTTAGCTGACTCTAGGTGGAAGGATGCTATGAATGAAGAAATGAGATCCTTGCAAAGAAATAAAACATGGGAATTGGTAGATTGTTCAGTTGGAAAGAAACCAGTAGGATACCGATGGGTGTATACTGTGAAATTTAATGCAAATGATACAATTGAGAGATTCAAAGCTAGATTAGTGGCAAATGGGTATACACAAGCATATGGAATTGATTACACTGAAATGTTTGCTCTCATAGCCAAAATTAGCACAGTTCGAGTATTGTTATCTCTAGCTGTAAACCTTGATTGGTCCTTACAATAATTTGACATAAAAAATGTCTTCTTACATAAGGAATTGTCTGAAGAAGTTTATATGGAGCTACTAGAAGGATGTGGGATCCCAGATACACATAGTAAGAAGGTATGCAAGTTGAAGAAGTCATTGTATGGACTAAAGAAATCGCTACGAGCATGGTTTGGTAGATTCACCAAGTTAATGCTTGCTTTTGTTACTAGAGTTTAGAATTGTTTCTTTTTCTTTCTAAATCCTTGGAGATCTTAACTGGAGAGATGACAAAAAAACCAATTCCAGTGGTAGTTCAATCTAAAGGTGTCTTCAACATAGGCATAACCCTAAATAAATCTAACTATGACGTATGATCACAACTAATGGAGAAGCACATTGCAGAGAGGGAAAAATTGTCCTACATCCGTGGGAAGGTGAAGCCTCCAACAGAGAAAGATAAGGGATATGAAAAATGGTATGCTAAAAACCAAAAAGTGAAAAGATGGTTACTGATGTTCATGAAGCCAGAAGTCATGAAAGTGTATCTTCGGTTACCCACTGCCCTCGATATTTGAAATGCTTTGTCAAAGACATTTTATGATGGAAGTGATGAGCTACAAGTGTTTGTCCTGAATCAAAGGGCATTCATTAGAAAACAAAATAATAGAACCCTAACTGAATATTATGGGGAGTTGGTTGAGATTTTTAGGGAATTAGATCATCGTGACAAAGTAGTCATGAATGACCCTAATGATGTGAAGTCATATCAGAAGCCCATTGAAAGATTGAGGATGCATATATTCCTTGCTAGACTGGATGATGATTTTGAGTTAGTTCATGGAGAAATATTGCGTAAAGAAGTGACATCTGATTTAGAAAAATGCTATGCATTGATCCAGAGAGAGACAGTCCGACGAACAACGTTGAAAACATAAGATATGATTTTTTATTCCACAATTATGATGACAAGGAAGCAAGCGAAGCAATCAAAAGGTCCTGAAAAAGGTAACTACAAGTGTACTCACTGTAATAAGGATAGACACACCAAGGAATGATGCTATGAAATCATAGGATACCCCGAGTGGTGGGATCACAGTTGAGCATCGAAGAAGAATTCAAAAAGAAATTCAACTACTGCTATAATTGCCATTGGCAAAGAGGACGACATAGGTATGATACTTGCTACAACCGCAGGTAGTGATGATTCCAATGGTAAGGCCTTAATAAGCACATCTACCGTTCTGAATAATGCATGAATAATTGACTCTGCATGTTCTAATCATATGACTTTTGATATTAGACAAATTAAAAATTAAACATTTTTCACAAAAAAGTATTTCCACAGCCATTGGTAATAAATCCACTATCATTAGAGAATGAACAATCTCTATTTCAAACAATTTAAACCTTAATATTGTTCTTGGTGTTCCTTCTCTTAAATACAACATATTGTCAGTCTCGCAAATAATCAAAGCTCTGATACCAAATTGAAAAACATAGAATTCATCCTATATTTTTATTCATATATCTTTTGGATACAAATATCATGTTCTTATAGTATTTTACTCCTACAAATCGGGATTAAATAAAGTAAAGTCTGATTATACACTATTTTGTATAGCTATATAAACCTATAGTTTAACTAATCAAATATGCTGCTAGAAGAATCACCAAATTATATATTCCTTGTATTTTATAGCTGATATGCTAGTTAAATCATTTTCTCATAATAAAATGTATTAAAATGGTTTTCCTTAGACGATGTGCTTTTCCCGAGATAATCATTTATGTTTGTGTAAAAGGCAAAGGAAGAGATAAATACAAATATAAATATAAATATAAATACAAATATAAATATATATATATATATATATATATATATATATATATATATATATATATATATAAAAAGACAGAAAAACTGAATATTGAGAAGTAACGCAACAAAAAGAAAAGAGAAAAATATATATGAAAGAAAAAAAAGATAGTACAAAATATGTGTGGTAATCATTATCCTTTGCTGGCTTCACAACTACAATCATACATAGGGCCGGGTATATCCTCATCACTCTTGAGGTTATTCCCAATGGAGAGACTGACGATGTTCTTAATTTCTTGACAAACATCGAGATCCGTTTCTAAAGGGGATGGTACATTTGTGGCATCTAGGCTGAATTTGGCTTCTTTTTACAAGTACGGAAGAATGAAAGCCTAAACTTATATTGGTATCTTCAACACAATAGTAGAGTATAAGAAAGAGAATCGATTAAACATAGAAATATTACAGAATAAAAATTACAGACTCATTAGCCTCTTCCACTGTCATTGCCAAATATAGTTAGCAACAGCCAAAAGTCAAGGTTCGCTGCCAAGACATTGACTGAGAAGGCACTCTGCAAAGTCTCAGAAACAAATCATAAAAAGAAAAGTGATAAATTGAAATCAGTATTAGGTACTATCTAAAAGTGGTAGTGGAAAGTTGACACTGACAAGCTGGGCTTACACTTGCTGCATTGTATGGATATTCGGGAAAGTAAACAGAGAACAAAAGTTTATCCCTGCAGGTTCGAAGCATGATTATACTGGGTAAATGGGGTCAGCTTGAAATTGTGAATATTTCTTTTATAAGCTCAGATGATTAAACAACAATAGCAATTATTGTTCATTGAGAGCGCACTTGGATAAGGCTGGCTGAGATACTGAAGATCAGCAATTGCGTAATTGAGTTATCTCAATGTTTTAAGTTCATTTGTTTAGGAGTTTCAGTCTAGGTTCTTGATTGAAAATTTTTGCAGCAGTAAAAAATTGTTGGAACAATCGTTACCGTTTTATGACTGGTCATGATCAAAAAGCCTGAAGCAGAAGTTTTACTGTAACATTTACTAATCTTTTCTGTCATCTATCTCAATGCTGATGTGGGTATTCGAATCTTGATTAACATTCAAGCAGAAGTATATTATTAGGCTTCATGAAAGTTACGATTTACTTTTTTTGGAAAAGATGATTGATATGTTAGTGAGATTAATTATGAGTTATTTATTGTTTACTTGTCACTAGTCTGTATTTTTTTTCACCTCTAAGAATTGACATTAGCTAGTCTGAATCATCATATTTAGCCAGAAGTGATTACAACAAGTTGTATTAAAATTATATATTTTTTGTATGGTTTTTATGGTAACCTATTTGGTAAAGTTCTTTATCAGACTTTTCTGTTAAAACTACGGTAGGACATAAGAGGAATTGGCTGAGACTTTTTCAGTAGCTCAGGGGGGCCTGCTGCAGTTCCACTCAGATTATTGAATTGGGTCCACATATCAAATTAATTGAAATCAGTCATTCTCTCCTCCAGTTTTTCTACATTGAAACTCATCTTAGTAACACACTAAGCCACTAAGGTATCTTGGCAGTCATCAATAGTGGCTAAATCATCATATATCCTTAGGCTGTGTTCCATACAAGTGAGAATTGGATAATAAATGGAAAATGACACTGGAAGACACTAATTCTAGATGCTCACTCATTTTCATATCACTAAAGACAATCTCCCTGAATCCCTTTTGTAGTTTCAGAACTTCTTCCATTAGACAAACTTGCATTTTGTGTCCATTGGATGGTTCAAAAAAGTGAATAAAATAATCCCTACTTAATAAAAAATGTATTGTCATGGACTGTTGAGAGAAATATTGAGAGAACAGAAACAAATTGAACATCATGTATTTTAAACAGTCCTTTCTCTTCATCTCACTAATTCAGGAAAACATCTGAAAATGAAAGATGTGGAATCTTATGCTATTCTTCTACCAGTTTGGATTTTGCCATTGGGATTGTACACCAAATACATGAGATATTGATATAAAAATAAAAATATGCGTATAATCTGATCCACCTTCCTATCAACAAATCGTGCTTTGGAAGTATCAAATCTGTGTAAAGCTTTGGATCGGTTGGTCAGCTATCAAACAGTATATATCTGATGGATGAGTTGTGATTATTGAGTAAGTACACGTACCTGTCATTTGGTGGTTTTCTAATAGACTTAATTCTGATGCATTTAAGCCTTCAAGTTCTATATACATTGACAAGAAGGGACCATGTACTGTTAGCAGATTAGCTGTCAAATACCCTTTGCCTCAGAAACACTTCCTCCTCATATTTTTGGTTGAGATAAAGATGTCTTTGACTGCTTGTGGTTAGGGGAAATTTGGAATTTAAGAAAACAACAAATTGGATTTGGTTCTTTCCTTATGGCCCTACTAAATTCGAATTAAAAGTTGCAACTCATTGTCATGCATGCACTCAAGGAATATGATTGCTTAGCTTATGTATCCCATGAATTAGAATAATATCCGAACTAACCACATTTTCACGTGTTTCTAGAACCTAGGTTAACCATGATGAACCAAAACCAAATGACTCATGATCACTGGAATTGATCTCTTGAAAGGTCATCTTCTAATCAGACCTATCATTTGTGTCTGCAATCGGTAGAAGTAAGCAAAATAGCTTTCAAAATTAAGCAATTGAGAAAAATGAAAAGCTCTTGTAATAAAGAATGATACATGTTCGGTGTAAGAACAATAATTTTCCGAACTCATGCGTTACGTGCAATAGGGTAAATTTCTATGTAGAACAATGATTCTTATTTATATTAATTATAAGTTTCGTTAATTTACGTAAGTAATCATAATATAATAACTAATTTATTAGGAATATTCGTCGGTTTAGTCTCTTAAATAGAACAATGATTCTTAACATAAATTTTTAATAAAATATTTTTATTTATTATTTTTTTACTATTTTTTATTTATCTCATTTGAAATTATTTTATACTATGAACTAATAAAAAGCAATTTAAATATAATTTTACAAAAGCCAACAATGCATATTAATCTATAATTAAATTATTTTTTAGTCCTATAAAATTAAGTAATTTGATTTTGGCCATTTGAAAAAATATATTGTTTTCATCTTTTTAAATGGTGTGTTAAATGAATGGTCAAGTAACATATGAGATAGCACCAACTAGAGTTTATATATAATGTTCACACGTGACATTTGAACAAAAAAATCGAGTTCTCTAAATTAAATATTATTTATCTATTTTAATATAAATATTAATTATAAAACTAATTATTTTGTATTTTGAAGGAATAATTTTCTTAAAATAACAGGTTATTACAAATAAAATTATTTTTTTATAAAAAATAAAAATAAAAGTTTTAAATTTTATAAAAATAAAAAAATTATAAAAATAAAAATTAAATTTCTCTCATATATTAAAATCGTATTTAAGCTACTAAATAATGATATAGAAATCAATGTATCATATATAACTAAATGGTTTAAATAATATACTCATTAACAAGGCTATAAAAGTACGTCCAAGTTAAGAATAGCAAACAGAATTGGTAAAAAAAATTATTTCGGATTATAATGAATTGAATAAAAGAAAAATCATTATTCTATTTTGATTTACTAAAATTAATTCTATTAGTAAAATCCAATTCAATCTAATTAAAAATAATAATTATCCAAGCCCTTTTTGCTTTAACATTGAGAAAAAATAGAGTTAAATATTTCAATTATATTTAATGATTTGATTTGATTAAAGTTAGTTTTACTAAGAGCAATGGAGCATCGATCATGGTGGTGTTTTAGGTTGGTTGGTTTCACTGAGAGAGTTTCACCGTCGCTTTCACTGTTACTGTTAATTTGATGATGCAGTACCAACCGAAGCCACCCATTTTATACTCATAAACAATAATTGTGAAGGTAGGGTAAATCATAATAATAAGAGTTTATTTATTAAAAAAATTAAAAGTAAAAGGTTGTTATTAATAGTGGCACTATTATTAGAAAGTGGAGAAGTGCAAGAAAACAAACAATATAAGGAGGCCATAATATCTAGCCATGATGTTGGTATTACCATGACATGTGCATCACACGTATGCACATCAATGTGGGGACTAATCAAACTCTTCCATAATTTGGAACAAGTAATCATCACTTCCTTTCATTGTTCATTAAATAATGATGGTGCTCAACATTTTTACAGTGGAAAAGAAAAGTGCTTGTGATCATCAGGGAAGGGTTTCCAAGTTATTATTAATAACTAAAATTATTTATGTTTATTTAGTCTACCTAGGACATTTAAATTTCGTTATTGTTTTTTCGTACTAAGAATGTTGGAAGAAAAAAAAAAAAAAAAAAAAAGGAAATGACATGAGTGTCTTTTTGGTGGAGGTTGATTTGTTTACAGTGAATGAAAGAGTTGAATTCTGTGGGATGAGGGAAATATTTTGGGTGGTGTTGCAGAGGTGGGTGCCACAATTATTTTACCTTTAAGAAGCTCAGCAACTTTAAACTCAAATGCATTGATTAAACCCACCACAAAGAAAGGTTAATTATGGTCAAAATTTTGTCCATTTCGAAGCAATGTTGAGCGAAAAGAAAGGCTGTTTAGTTTACTCTTTTCTATGGGATGATTTGGTGGGGAACCCACTTTCATTGGTTTCATTGGTACATCATGATGATGAGATGAGCAACACATATTTCTAAGGTCGCGTGAGAAATTTTTAAACATAGCTATTTTCGATATATTTGATCAACTTGACTGATTTTTATTGAAGAATCTTGCAGAAAAGTGAATGAATGAATGAATGAATCCGAATATTATTGAGAAAAACTATTATTCTACTGATTGTCTCTACCCACATTAATGTCATTGATATTGAGGATTGAAGTTGATGGATTTCCTTTAGCAAGGCCTAGCTTTGGATGTGAGTGAAGCTTTCATCAGAAATCATCAATTCTGCTATTAAGGGTCTCTTTTACAGGTGAATGATTATGAACTGGTTGTGCTCTCTGCCAAAAGTCTTTTTCTTTCTAGAATGACTCGATTACTCGTGTTTCAGTGTGGTTTTTGTTCTTGATCAGGTCATACACAACATGAGTACTATGCTTGATGGCTGCACTTCTGGCTTTTTAATAGTGGACAAGGGTTCAATCCAGAATGAACACTACAAAAGTTTTGAGGATGACAGGAATAATATTTATTTGCCATACCATACCCAGTGCAACCTTTCACACAAGAGTTAAAGAAGAAGAATTATATTTACCTACGACATTTACATTTTTTTTTAGTTTTAAAATATAAATATTTTTTCATATATTAAATACAGTCTACTTTCCTTATTATTTGATAAATGATGTTAGTTTTGTATGATTTTAATCAAATGACACACATGTTTCTTATTTATTTATAAGAAAAATAATTTAAAATAAATAAAATTTCAATTTTTTTAAACTTTAATTTTAATTTTTATAATATTTTATAAAAGATTTAGTTACTAAAAGTATAAAATATGTGAGCCCTATTTATTAAAAACTACAAAAACGTGAATATTTATAAAATATGTGAGCCCTATTTAAGAATTGTTGACTGATTTCCATTTTATATTTAGTGACTAAAATTTCAATCATGGAAATTAGTCATCGATTCGATCACCAAATCGATCACTGGATTCGGTCATTACTAGAAATTTCTCTTTTTATATATAGTGACTGATTTAGTGACTGAAATTTTCAGTCACTAAACAAATGATATATAAATTAGTGACCATTTTTTATTTATATAAATATTTTTTAAAAATATTTTAATAATATATTAAATATAAATCTACTTAATAATTTAAAATAATTGATAAAAATTTTAATAACATTATAAAAATTTTAAAAAATAGTTTATTAACTTATTAAATAATTTAGTAATATAATTATTTGATTTTATTTTTTAATTTAGTATGTGAATAAAAAAATTAAAATTAATTATTAAATTAGTCACCAAATCAGTCACCGATTCGATCATTAAAGTAATTATTAATTTAATCTCTTTTATATATATATAATCAATGATTAAATTAATTATTAATTTAATCTCTTTATATATATATATATATATATTACTTTTATGTTAATAAAAATGTATTTCAATATATTTATAAACAAATTAAAATTATTTTAATTATTGAATTGATATTTCAAATTTATATTAATATTTTAAATAATTTAATAATTGGATAAATATTTTAAGTTTATATTAGTATTTTTATAAAAGTGTAAAGATTAAGTGAACTTATTTTAAATTTTAATTAAACATAATAATATAATATACTATTAACCATAAATATGTGAAGATTTAGTTAGAAATTAATTTTAAGTTTTATCGTTTTTATTTAAAAAAATTTAAAAAAAAATCAAAATAATTAATTAAAATAAAGAATTTTAATTTAATAAATGTGTTAATATTATTAGTTATTGGAGAATTAAATTTATAATAATAATTATATAAAATTATAGAATTAATAAAATTTAAATTATTGGTATTTTTTTAATCATGAAGCTAAAATTTGATAATATTAATAAATTAAAATAAAAAATTATATATATATATATATATATATATATATCACTTTAATTATTTTAATTAAAAATAATTTCATAAAAAAACTAATATTTGAAAAAAAAATGCAAAAGTATATATTTTTTCTTTTATTTAATTGTATTTTTTATTTTTTACTTTTTGGGTTTTAGTCCATAACAACAATTTAGTTACCCTAATTTTAGTTTAACCTAAAAATCTCATCGTCTTACCACAAAAATATATAATTTCTCTTATTAACAAAAAAATTTTATCGATTAAGAAAATTATTACTAATAAGATTCAAAACGAGTTAGATATTAATACTCCAACCACTAAACTGTTAGAATTTTTTAATAAAAATTTACAAATAAATTATATTTATATACAAAAAAATGTATATCCGTGTAAATATAAATATAAAATATATAAATACAAATATATTTATATATTTTGATATATTTATATATTTATATGTTCGATGTGAGGATCACGCTAGAGGGTGAAAGTGTGTGTCGAGTGAGTTTTCAAAATTTGATGTCAAATTTGTGAGGAGTCTCTTTATATGGATTTGTAATGTAATGATAGAATATAATCTTTATAATTTATTTATATAATGATATAAAATAATTGTTTTCTTTATTTTTTTTAATTTATTCTTTTTATCTTTTTTTTCTTCTATTATTTAATTAAAATTCTTATATTAAAATAATTTTTTCATTATTAAAAATAATTAAATATTTATTTTCAAAATTATTTTTTAAAATTATTTAATTTAACAAATTATTATGAATTAATCTATGTCTGGAAAAAATAATTATTAAAAGATGATTTTGATTAATTTATAATAATATATGTTAGGAAAAATTGTTCTATTAATAATCATAATTAGATTAATTTATAATAATTTTTTAAATTAAATAATTTTAAAAATAAATATTTAATTATATTTTAATATTGAAAAAATTATTTTAATATAAAATTTTAATTAAATAATAGAAGAAAAAAATAAGAAGAATAAATTAAAATAAAATAAAAATAAATAAAGAAAAAAAGTATTTTATATCATTGTATAAATAAATTATAAAGATTATATTGTGTCATTAAATTATAAACTCATATAAAGAGATCCGCTCACAAATTTGACATCAAATTTTAAAAATTCACTCGACACACACTTTCACCCTCGAGCAGCCCTCATATCCAACATATATATATATATATATATATATATATATATATATATATATTATATTTATATATTTGCACGGATATATATTTTTATTTGTATATAAATATAATTTATTTATAAACTATTATTAAAAAATTCTAGTAGCTTAGTGATTGGAGTATAAGTCTCTAATTCTAAGGTACTGGGTTTGAATCGACAATTCTTTCAATCTAATATTAAGTTAGAGACACAATAATAATAAAAAAATAAAGGCATGGTCAGAATTAGTATAAATTCTAAGCTCGAAAGAGAAAAAGTTAAGAAAAGGATATATTAAAGCAAACTAAATAAGACTTATAAATTTAATATCTTAATTTATCTGTAATTGTATTATAATAAGAAAATGTCCTTGATAGAGTTTCAAATTCTACTACTAGAGTATATATAGTGTGTTGTCTTTTTCTTCTTTTCTTTTCTTTTTCTTTTTTTTAAAATTTTTTTTTTTACGGTGACTTGAATATCTATTTATAAAGTCTCCTGTTAATACAGGTAGCCGACCCACATGTTTGACCATGGGTTGAGTGTGTGATAACTTATCTAAGTCGCAAGTGTAATTTATAAACAATGGATGATTGTGAGTTTTAGGGTTTAGATAATGTTTTACTTAAAACATTGTCACTGAGGTTACTCTTTTAACCAATTAGAGAGATTGGTCCTTATACTGACGCATAGCATAATACAACACTTAACACAAAGATGAAAATGTTAATAAAATAATAAAATAAAGTTGATCTTTTGACTGATTAAAATAATAACTATATAGAATCTCCTGATTTCAAAACAAAGATGAAGAGACTAATAGATGATATCTATTTTTTTACTAATTAAAATAATTATATTATAAAATCTAGTAAAGATGAAAATAATTATATTATAAAATCTCAATCTTTAAGCAAAGATGAAAAGACTAATAGAATAAGTTTTTTTTACCTTATTAAAATAATAATATTAAAAATTGTAAGATTTATTGTTAAGTAGTGTGGGTGAAATATTAAAGTAAAATGTTTTTATATTGTTTGATAATAAAAAAAGAAAATGTAAGAAAAGAAAATGAAAGAAAGAAAAAAGAAACATGAAATAGAGAGAGGGTAAAATATATTTATTTGTTTTAAAATAAGATGATATTCATTTTAAAATAAATAAATTAAAATTAAATATTTATTCAATTGTAAAGTTACATATTTATTAAATTTTTTTCATAAATAAAATAGTTTTCTAAATTAACACATTAAATTAAGATTTTATTTTATTATTAGTGGCAGATGTATATGTATAATAAAATAAAAATATACAATAAAATACTTTAGGTTTTTTATATTCTTTTTAAAAAAATTACATCTTTAAAAAGATCCGATTCAAGTTTTTAACTGGTTTTTATCGATGTGCAACTTATTTTCATTTTTTTCTTTAGCTATTCTTCTATGGGAGTGGTTTTATAATTTGTTTGAACCGAGTACTTAATCAATTCAACCTATTAAATCCTATTTTTAAATAGAGCTATAAATTGATAATTTATTAAAGGCCAAATACAAATGGCAAATTTTTTGGTATCCTAAGAACCTTGGGATGTGTGTGATACATGGCCAAATCAATCATGGAAGGTTCCATTTTGTATACGAAAAGAAGATCCGTATCTCTCCCATAGAACAAATCCACGCATCCGTGTTTCCCTTGTCTCTTCGTAATAAAATAATCACTTTCTCAAAACCTAAGTAACGTAATGATGTTATAACATTGTGGAAGCGTTGTTTGTCCAGTCTCAGTACTATATGTTCAAGTTTCATGTTCATGTATTTCCTTCCTTGAAGATAGGGGCTACGTGTTTGGTCGGTTTGTATCTTCTACCTCCTTCTATGTTCATCAAAATAATGGATTCAGATAGAGATAGAATCGCGTCGTGCTTATTTGATTTTAAGACAGAAAACGCTAGGTGATATAAGATTACGAGTAAGTGGAATAATTTATTTTTTAAATTATATGATTAAAATTATATAATCATTTCTCATTATTTATAAATATATTTTTTATATTTTCTCCATTAATTTGCTTCACCATAATTTTAAATCATTACTGTAACTTAAGTGTTACTGAAATTCATATAAATATAGGTTTAATTATATTTTTTAATTTTTTGATAAATAACTTTTTAGTCTTTTAAATTAAAAATAATAATCCCTTAAGTAAAATAAATTATGAATTTAGTCTTTGAATATTATATGTAAACAAAAAAAGATTATTTTTTTAATTTTAAAAGGCTATTTTAAAAAAAAATTAGAAGTCTAAAATCAAAATCACTATAAGCCTAACCTATATTATTAGTCAAAGGAAGTTAATGTTATAACATATAACTAGGTTAATTAATCAAGAAGATAATTTTGCTGGTAAAAATATTAAATTAGTTTTTTAAAATCAAATTATTTTATTAAATATTTCTAAATATGTTATTATATTGGAATTATTTAATAAAACCCCGGTCAAAGCGGTAGATCCAATTGGTTGAAAAAATACCGGTTTGATTAGATTTATTACTGACGAAGAAAAAAATCATCCAAATGATATACTAATATAAATTTATTTTTAAAAGAAAAATTATTTGATTAAAATTTAGGTTTGATTGTGAATCATCATTCGTTGAAGCAAATTGCAGATGATTAGTATTTAAATTATATTTTATTGTCTATGAATAAGTTTCCAAAAGGCTTTTAAACCAATTTTCAAAATTATTGACTACGAATTTAATTATGTTAAATTTAAATTTGAATATAAATATCATTAATTTCATTTGTAAAAGTATATTTGCTTATAATAGGACTGTTATCTTGTATTTAGTTGACTTTTTTTTTCAATCCAAAACTATCCATACCAATTCTTTAATGGATTGGTTGATATTTAATAGTATGTTTAATAATAGAATTCCCAAAAAGCGTTAAGAACTAATGGTCATTAAAGAATGTTTGACAATTTTATTTTTTATTTTTTAATTTGTTTCAAATTTATAATCCAACCCAACTCAACATTAATGTTTCATTAATTGTATAGTATTTGATAATACGTTACTAATGTGAAAATATCTTTTAATAAAAAATTAATGTTGTAAAATATGTAGTACTATAATTTTTAGGCTAAATATTAATTCAGTTAGATACTATTGATTACTTAATAATCAATGTAGTATAATTACAAAGCAATAATATTAAACATGTTATATAATGTTAAATAATAACTCATATTATTCCAGTATAATAACTTAAGTACACTTCTATTTTTTTAATATATATTTTGTTTCTCGTGACCTAAAACTTGGTGTTTTCTTTCTTCTTCCTTGCAATCCAAAACATTTTGTTCATCATCTCCCCAAATGCTTCCAGTGCCACCTGTTTTCCTTGATTTGTTTTTGTATCTTTCTCGTCAAAATTTCATCAAAATTGTTGCTTCATCTTATCCATGTTCAAACGTCGTCAATGTCACTTTGTCTTCTCTCCATTCAACTTTACTGATTCCTTATGTGGCCACTCTGTTTTCATACTTCCTCGATCACCTTAAAATTAAACATTTTTAATTCAACAAAAAATTAAAAATTGTTGCTTGGGTTGTTTTAAAAAATAATTATTGTTATTGTTATTTTAAATTAATTATTTAACCTTGTTTTATTGACCTGTGTTTTGTTGAGATAGAGATATTTGATTAGCTAAATTATAGGTTTATATAGTTGTACAAAATAGTGCATAATTAGAACTTACTTTATTTAATCCTGATTTGTAAAAGTAAAATACTATAAGAACATGATATCTATATATGAATAAAAATTATAGAATGAATTCTATGTTTTCCAATTTGGTAACAAAGTTTAGAATTTTTTTCTTTTTTTTTTCTAAATCCTTGGAGATCTTCACTGGAGAGATGACAACAAAACTAATTCCAGTGGTAATTCAATCTGAAGGGTGTCTTCAACGTAGGCATAATCCTAAATGAATCCAACTATGACGTATAGTAATAACTAATGGAGATGCATATTGCAGAGAGGGAAAAATTGTCCTGCATCTATGGGAAGGTGAAACCTCAAACAAAGAAAGATGAGGGATATGAAAAATGGCATGCTGAAAACTAAAAAGTGAAAAGATGGTTATTGATGTCCATGAAGCAATAAATAATGAAAATGTATCTTTGCTTACCCATTACTCTTAATATTTGGAATGTTTTGTCAAAGACATTTTATGATGGAAGTCATGAGCTACATGTGTTTGTCCTGAATCAAAGGACATTCACTGCAAAATAAAATAATAGAACCCTAACTGAATCTTATGGGGAGTTGGTTGAGATTTTTAGAGAATTGGACCATTGTGATAAAGTAGTCATGATGATGTGAAGTCATATCAGACGTCCATTGAAAGATTGAGGGTGCATATATTCTTTGTTGGACTGAATGATAATTTTGAGCAAGTTTGTGGAGAAATCTTGCTCAACTAAGTGACACCTGATTTAGAAGAATGCTATGCATTGATTCAGAGAGAAAGAGTCTCGCGAACAACTTTGAAAACAGAAAATATGATTTCTAATTCTACAGCTATGATGCTTGCTACAATCGTAGGTAGTGATGAGTCCAATGATAAGGCCTTAATAAGCACATTTACCATTCTGAATAATGCATGGATAATTGACTCTGCATGTTCTGATCATATGAATTTTGATGTTAGACAGATTAAAAATTTTAAACCTTCCTCACAAAAAATTATTTCCACAACCAATGGTAGTAAATCTATTATCATTGGAGAAGGAATTGTCTCTATTTCAAACAATTTGAACCTTAATATTGTCCTTATTGTTTCTTCTCTTAAATATAATCTATTGTCAGTCTCGCAAATAACCAAAGCTCTTTTATGTGTTGTAATTTTTGTGTCTAACTCTTGTGTTTTTAAGGACATTCAAACGAGGAAGACGATTGATTATGATATTAGGCGAGGAAGGTTGTATTACCTGGACCTGACAAAAAAATATTCAAAGAGACTTGGTCAAGTGCTAACAACAAAAGGGTCTCAAGAAGTGAGAAAAGGCAAGGATATTTGGTTATGACATAAGCGTCTAAGACATGCATCTTTTGGTTACATAAAGAAATTATTGCCAAATGTATTTGACTAAGTAGACACTTCAACTTTGTATTGTGATGTTTGAGAGCTTGCAAAGAGTCACATAACATATTTTCCTTTAATTTTAAATAAAAGTTCTCTTCCTTTTATGATCATTTACTCTGATGTATGGGGTCCATCTAAGGTTACAACGTTGGGTGACTCAACGTGATTTGTAACGTTTATTGATGATTGTACTCGAATGACTTGGTTATGTTTGATGAACTATAAAAGTGAAGTTGGAGGATTATTTCAGAAATTCTGCAAAATGATTGAGACCCAGTATAAAGCACAAGTTCAGGTACTGTGCAGTAACAACGGAGGAGAATATATGCAATCAGAACTTCAACAATTTTTAGTAGTCAAAGGAATTGTTTATCAGATATCTTGTCCAAATATTCCACAACAGAATGAGGTGACAGAACAAAAAAACCGTCATCTATTGGAGATGGTTCGAGCTACACTGATTGGAGCTCACATGCCAGTAATATATTGGGGAGAAGCTCTCACATATGTAGTTGTTAAGTGGTAAAAAGTTGATATAATTATGCCTTGAATTGTTATGAAACCACTTAATTTATGTTAATTCTAATATATTTTTCTCCCAATATAGGATGAATTCGAGAATACCTTGATACAAGAGTAAGGAGCATAATTGAAAAAAAGAAGAACGCTTAAGCGAATGAGTGATGCGAGGCCCGACCCAAATTCTCTTATAAAAAGATGAGTTGTGTTTTGAGAAAACAAGCAGTCTTGGAGAAGAGGAGATACAACTACTATTAGGGTTTCGTCTAATCTTCATCAATTCTTCACTTCTTCATCAATTGGAGCATTGTAATGGCCAACATGAGTGGCTAACTTCATTCTCTTAGGATTCAGTGCACTTCCTTTGAACTCTTTTGTATCATGGTGATATTTTGAGATATTAATCTATGCTTTGATGTTGTTATTCTTATCCTTTATGCTTTGGAATGATTTATTCTTGATGTTTGGGGTATGATTGAAACATATATCTTGAACCCTAAATCACGATAAGAATATTTGTTACGTTAATTACCAAGAATAGAATAAATGTATCAATTGCTTAACACCCTAACCCTAATGCTGGAAAATCTCTTAATTGTGTGAGGAATCAACATTTATTAGGTTTTCTTATGAATTTCATGTGTGAGGAATCAACATGAATGGTTTTAGTAGGTGGCATCAACATTGTTAGGTTAATTGACGTTCTTAATTGACATAGTCATTACAAAAGAGGGATAAGGAAAGAAGTCAATCCTAAGTACCTTTAATTGATATTTTCTCAA